TCCCATGTCCCCGAGATGGAGATGGAGATGGAGGTGGGGCTGGGGTGCTGCGGCCCTCTTCCACGGCTGGTCCGGCTGTGGAGGAAAAGAAGAAGACACAATCAGTCCTATAAACTGGACTCTGTAGCACTTACAATACTAACAGGATGGTTTATTAGGGGATGAGCTTTCCTGGGCCAGACCCACTTCCTCAGATCAGAGTAACACGGCTACATTTCTATCACAATCAGTCATGTGTGCAACAACTGTCCAAAAGGGCATGCCCTCTCCTTGAGACAGGGGAATCAGACATTCTGAAGGTCACACTGTGTGTGTGTGACCTGGGCATCAGCCTGAGCATGACAGGTTTCCCTTGTGCATCACCCACTGTGCACCCACCTACCTCCCCCCCCCCCCGGGTGTGACACAACCTCACTGTACTCACCTGCTGCTTCCTCTCCTGCGCCAGATGACGCCTGGGAGGCCTCTGAGGTCTGGGTGACTGGCTCCATGGTGAGGGTCGCCATCTCCTTGCTGTCCTCCTCCTCTAGGACCATGTCCCCGTCTCCAGAGTGCTCTAGCTCCTGCTCTGGAGTGTCCACCACGGGGTCTGCCAATCCAGACTGTACGAACCGCCGTGGTGTGCGTGCTTCTCCACTGCCACCCAGGATCTGGTCCAGCTCGGGGTAGTAGGGGCAGTAGTAGGGGGCTGCCCCAGAACGGGAGCTCTCCTCCCTGGCCTTAACGTACCCCTGGCGCAGCTCTTTGACCTTGGAGCGCACCTGGTCCTGGGTGCGGGGGTAGTGGCCCTTCTGGGCCAGGGCTTCAGCCATGCGGCCATAAATGTCAGCGTTTCGCCGCCGGCTTTTGAGGGCCTGTAAGGCCTCCTGCTCTCCCCACAGCTCCAACAGGCTCTTTATCTCTGCGCCAGACCAGGATGGTGCCCGGCGCTTGGAGCCCTTGGCTGGGTCCCCAAAAGGCTCGGTGGAAGGGCCAGGACGGTCTTGGGGCTGGGACATGCTGCAGCAAAGTAGCCATGTGCTCTGGCTCCTTGTCTGCAACAAGTGTCTGTGAGGGTGCCTGTCCCTTTAAGGAATGGCTGCAGTCAGGAACCACAGACGTGCAACCCATGGCCCAGATTGTCCACCAGGGCTTCTTCCTGGAGGCCAATAATTTCGAAAGAAAGGGCTCCCCCCGTCCACACTCACGTTCTTTCGACGGATCTCCCTCGAAAAAGGCGTTCTTCCTCGTAAAATTAGGTGTACAGCCGTCGAAAGAAAAGCCACATTCTTTCGATTTACTTTCGAAAGAACGCGGCTTGAGTCTGGACGCAGGGGAAGTTCTTTCGAAAAAAGACTACTTTTTTCGAAAGAACCCCTGAGTCTGGACCCGGCCTATGTGATACATCAAGATCTCACATGGTTTCCATATTCAGGGAAACACTTCTAGTAGGTCAGTAATCTGGAGAGAGTGCTCCCTTTCTCCTGCTTGTCAAAAGAGGAAATAGAATGGGACAGTCAAAAGAATTCAAGGCTATACGGAGGAACTACAAGGAAACTTGGTTTCTCATTCTGTTGTAGTTTCTTCTAGGAAAGCTGTAGTTCTCAGGCATTTGGAATCCAGTTCTTTCCAGACCTACAAAAACATTATTCCTTCTCTGAAGGCCACCAAACATAACATCCTGCTTCCTTTCTTTTATTTCCTGCACCTTTCATTCTTATTTCCTGCAGCTAGAAGATACCTCCTGCCCCTTCCAGTCTTGACACCCGAGATAGAGGTTGTTGGGTATGTGGGCTTAAGAGCTGTACCCTTAAGAGCTTTTTTAGTTTTCCAGACAGAAAGTGTGGGAAAGAGAAGTTGAAAAAACATTTGGAACTCTGATAGGGTATGTCTACACTACCACCCTAGTTCAAACTAGGGTGGTTAATGTAGTCATACGAACTTGCAAATGAAGCCCGGGATTTGAATTTCCCGGGCTTCATTTGCATGTTGCCGGGAGCCGCCATTTTTAAATGTCCGCTAGTGCGGACTCCGTGCCCGCGGCTACACGCGGCACGAACTAGATAGTTCGGACTAGGCTTCCTATTCCGAACTATCTGTACGCCTTGTGGAACGGTTGGGAGAATTGACTGGTGAGCTGCAAGAGTTTGTTTACATTAAGCATCTGCAGTTCACTGTTCCCTGCTAACGACAGTTGTGGGAAGCAGTGTGGGCTGCAGGAACGTGCTGACCACTGCTTCCTGCAACCCTCATTGGCTGGAAATGGTGAAGTGAAGCCATGAGGAGCTGTGGGTGGCTGTGCCTATGGATGCTCGAGGACACAATTTCTGATGAGCAGGGGTGGTCTCACGAGTTGTGGACTTGGCATGCTCCAGACAGACTGAAAAATGGGGCTGTTGCAAACTGTATTTGCTTTTTGATGCTAATTTTAAAAACTCCTATTTCAAAACACACAGTTGTTACAACTTTTAACAACTGGATCACTTGCCTTTTAGGATTTGTTGCTCCTGCTGCGAACACTATTTTCACTTGTCCTGTAGAACTGAGGTTCCCCCCAAAAAGGCTTAATCAAAACAAGTATGTATTCACATCTACAGAGAAACACTCCAGGACTTGATATAGTAAAGCCAAAGTAGACCTGTAATAGGGACCTTTCTCCATCCTCTTTCCCATGCCCTCCTGCTACTTTCCAACTCATTTTCTCTCTCCGTTGCCTCTTCCCTCTACTTCCTCACCACACCACCATATCTCCCTCCTCTCTTGCTCTTCCTCTCCTGTCTGCCTGACTTTGCACACTCTTAAGATAAAATGACTGTCCACACTTACCAACTTTCTCTCATCCTCTGCTGTCTTGTTTATCTTAACTGTAAACCCTTCAGAATAAGAATAGTCTCTTACACTTGTAGAATTATGTACAAAATTTATATATTATCTACTATATATTTGAGAGCATTTGTGTCTATCTGTGAGTCTGTTTGTTCAAGAGCTCCTCCTATACAGTAAGAGCTAGGACCACCTAATTTGGTATGTAGCTTCCTGTGATCATAACTTAAAGCAAAGTCATAGTTTGGTTGTACCAGAACAATGGGATGTTCATGGAATGTAACAGTTTTTCATCAAACAGAGAGGGAAGGGTGTGGTAGTAGGGACAGTTATACTCATAAATGAGCACAAGGGAAAGTTATACCTCAGAATGAGCAAAGGGAGACAGCAAGTGCCCCAGAACCAGGAAGCAGTTGCTGGCCAACAGCATGACCCTCGTCACTCCTGGGAAGCAGCCACTAGCCAGCCAGCGTGCCCTGCTGGCTGCATGGCCCTTGCCACCCCAGCTGCTTCCAGGGAGCAAGCAGTGCACTGAACTGCAGATGCTCAATGTAAACAAAAGAAGCAACGTGATGAGGGAATCCCAGGAGCTTCCTGCCTTTCATTAACACCATGCAGTGCACATTTAGGATGGAAATGAGTGGTTGCAAAAAGCAGTGGTGTTTTGTGGGGGATGCACTGTGATTTCACAACGTTGTCAATGCCAGATAGCTGTATACTGAGGAGTAATATCTGGTACCTTTTCCAGTATCAAGGGGGATGGGAGATATGGAGCATTGTGTTTGCTCTTTTGCTGGAGGAGGACTCAAGGAACAACCAAAGCAAGTCAAGACAATCAAGCCCCAGGACATAACATTGCTAGACCAAATGGACTCACTGAGCTCTGACGAAAATACTGATATTTCAAAAGAGACTCACAAGTCTAAACAACAATGTAAGGCACCTCAGAGATTAAACAAGCATTGTTAGTAAATTCAGCTAACTGACCGGTTATAACTATTTAGAACTGTGTGTTATATAAATGATGTTCAAGTGTTGTTCTTATTAAATGTGAACAGAGTCTGAAGGAATATTTCTCTCGCAGCTAGTTGGGAAAGGGGAGAGACCCTGGGTGTCTCTATTTACTCCTGCTTTGCTGAGATTTTCTGGATATTCAGGAGATGGGAGTGGTATTTCACTCATTGTAATCAACTTAATTTGTGACCCAGCACCAGTTATGTTTGTATTAAATGTATGGATAGCTAAAATATAGTTACTAATGTTCTTAATTTTGTGGGAATACAGAAAAGCAGGACTATGCTAAATCTGTTCCAAAGGAAAGGGCTCAGAGTTAGCGTAAAGAACCTTGCTAAACAGTTGCTTGACTTTCAGAGCTCTATGAGAGTGTCATTCCTTCAGCCCTCCCCTGCAGGAGTGTCGGATGGGATCTCCCTCATACAAGAGACCAGGGCATCCCGTCCTGGGTTTAATCTAGGCCCCTGTCGGCTTGGGTGTGGGCCTACCTGTGCAATTGGGCAAGGCACTCGGCGCGGTAGCCCATTACTACCTGAGAGCCACTCGTACCTTTCGCTAACCGGCGAATCAAGGGTCACTTCTCTGCAGCCCCTTGGGGCGAAGTCCTGCAGTCTCTGTGACCGGAGAGCACAGTCTCAAAGCACGGAGCTTTGCCGGAAAAAAGCGCCAGTCTAGATGCAGATCTTTTGGAAAATAAAGCCTTTTCCGAAAGATCCCTTATCCCTCTTAAAATAAGGGATAAGGGATCTTTCAGAAAAGGCTTTATTTTAAAATAAGGGATAAGGGATGTCAGGCTCCTATAGAACTTTATTCATAAGATTAGTCTTTTGTAGTTTGTCATTCCAAATGATGCACATCAAAGCTGTCCTCAACTGATCCAGATTCATAGTGACTTTGCCTCCTGGACAGCTGCTGCTGGCTGTCAATCACTTTCAGCTATGTTTATCAAAGCCCAATGAATTTCATAATAGTTCATATAAAGTGCTCTGGTGGCATTTCTCTGTGCTGACCATCTTGTTTCTGATCCTCTTTGTACAACATAGGTATTTTGCTTCATGTTATTGCTAATTTAGACCACCTCTAGGATGAAGCTGAGAGGAATGTAAAGAGTGACTGCAAAATCTCAAAAAAACTGACTGCTGCAAGACAACACTCAACAGCAGCTGATCCAACCAAATTCATACTATGGGCAGCACCTGGACCCGATTCAGCTAAACTGTTTTTGAAGAGATACAAATATTAAAAACAGGTGAAATATAATTTCAAATGTTTTATTATATAATAGAGTTAAGACTTTATTATATAATACTGTTGTTTACTATCATCAAGTTTTCTTTTTTTTAATTCTCAGGGTACCTTTGAATTGGATTGAATGTCAGATGGTTATAAAAGGAAACATGATTCTGGATATGTATGATTCTTTTGTAAAGCAAAAGAAAAAGGAAGAAAGGAACAAGCTTTAAAAAGATGATGGGTTCTCTGCTGAATTTTATGAGAGAAGATTTGAGTGACAATGCAAGCTCTCCCATCGATCCATCATCATCATGACTCCAGTACTCAGATTCAAGCATTTGTCTACTATTCACTAATCTTAAATTTGTTTTTAATGCTGAGATAGTAAAGGTCAATTTAGAGCCCTACTTCACACTACAAGCCTCAGGACCTAATCTTTTAAATAGTTTGAACACAACATTTTGTAATGTTTCCACTGCTTGTATATAGATTTTTAATGCCACACCTTTCTACTCTGTCAGGCTAAGAGATTTAAGAAATGTCTATGTGTTGCACTCAAGTCACAGCTGCAGGCTAAGCATCAAAGCTTAAAGTTGTTTTCTTATATAAAGCAGTTCAAAAGCTTAGACCTGCCAGGAGAAGAGATGTCAAATCAACACTTGACTTTTGAAATCAGTAGAGTCCAGGGGCATTATGTTGTGTTTGTGTGAGGGGTTTTTTTTAGTTTGTTTGTCTGACTTAGGTGGTGCACAAATAATTAGATTACTATATGTGCCTACAGAGGTAGAACAAGAAACCTAAACCTTGTTTTGTCTACTATTGATCAAGAAGTGCCCATGAGACATCTGAGATACTGAGTGAGTGATAAAGTTGATTGAAAACCTGAGCCTAGTATTTCACATTATTGGGTACACTTATTTCTAAAGTTATCTATTCTCTTAGAAAGTTTTTTTTCTCAGTGGGTAAAATTAAAGTATTATATAATGTCTTTTGCAGTCAGTCAGTAGCAATATACCAGGGATGAATTTGGCCCAATGTATTTAAACAGATATAGAGGAATTAATATATTAAAAGTTACTTTCAGAAAATGATTTGCAACAACAGAAGGCTGCTGTGGTTTAGTTGTTCTAGGGAACTGCAGAACTATGAGTTCTGGGACTATGGGTGCATGGAGTTATCCACATTTCTACCTCATTACTGGAAGCTCAAGTCAGGTTTCTGCTGAAGAAGCCTATAATGCTAGATGTTGTAGGAAGTACCACCCAGTGAAACCATTGTGGTGTCTTCCACAGCCCACTGATTGATTGATTGTCTCATGTCAGGATATAAACCAAGAGGCCTGTGTGATGAGCCAATTGAGCAATGATGCAGAATGTTTCCTTCTGCTCAAGATCTTGCCTTGCTGTGAACCCTGGATACCATTTCTGACCCCAGTTACTTGCCTGTTATTTGTAACCTGATACCTGACCCTGACTTCCTGGTATCATGACCTGGTTTGACACTAACTCTGCAACTTGCATCCCACTTGGCACTTTGTGCCTGACTGATTTTCTGGTATCCTTACCCATTTTGACCCTAATACTGCTGCTTGTCTCCTGACTGCAACTTGGTAACTGATCAATGCACACAGTCCAACCCTGGACTGACCCTGACCGTTTGGATGTATGTGACTTGTATTCTCTGAGGGCTCGTCTTCACTACATGGTGGATCGATGGAAGACACCGTGGTATGTACATTAACTTCAGCTACGCTAAGCACATAGCTATAATAGCATAAGATAGATCAATGGGGGCACTTAGTATAGACTAACCCAAGGTATTGGGATGGGGTTACTGGCAGATATCATTAATGTGGGTAGGAAAGTGTTAACTGAATTACACAAACCCACAGCCTTTATGACTGACTGATATTTTCTGCAACACCTTTACTAAGTCATCATGGGTACATAAAGATCTTGTGAAAACAAGCATTTTTAATTTTCTTATTAGTGAAAGACTAGACAAGAAGCTTAAGGCTGTCATTAGTTTCAAATATTAGTTGCCTTCTCTGTAGCCTGAGACAGCTTTACACTGGATAACAACAGCAATCATTGATATCTGTGGGTACGCCTATACAGCATGCTTATTTTGAAATAAGCTATTTCTGAATTTTTTTTCAGAAATAGCTTATTTTGAAATAGCACGTCTACACTACAGGGAAGCCTCAAAATTACTGTAGTCCGTAATGTGGACGTAATTCCCTAATGTGGATGTGCTACCCGAATTAAAGCTCCAGGAGGCACTGGGAAGTAATTACTTTGAATCACCCTGGGAAGGAGCTATTTTGAAATAGCAGCAGTAGAGCATCCACACTACCGCTATTCTGAAATAGCTATTTCGGAATAAGCATTATTCCTCATGGAATGAGATTTACAGATATCAAAATAAGCCATCTATTATTTCAAAATAATGGAATTGCTCTGTAGAAGCTTGCATTAGTACAATGTGATGCATAGTATCACATGCAATAGTACAAGACCTGATACCTTTGCCAAGAGTTCTTGGGACCAGAGAGCCTCACTTCTTGAGGTTAGCAATCCTTAAATTTTATCAGTGTAATTCCAGTTTTTTTCTTTCACAGGAACAATGGTAGGAACTGGTAGTATTGTCCCAGCATTTGATCAAGCAAACTGCAACTATGTTGTGTGCATTCTGCCACCATGAATTCATAAAGTAGAACACCACCTAGTAATGGTTATGCTGAACAAGCAGGGATTCTGCAGGTAAGGTCAAATGCTAGCCACAGGCGTACCATTTCTGCTAATCAGAATGGGAAGAGAGGTAAGAGAATCAATAAATAGAGACTGAAGGAAAATAAGTAGGTGGACTCCTTGCATTTAGGCACCTTTTTTTAGGGTTGCCAGCTTTGCCAACCAGAGAGACCCAACGCCATTGCCATGAATGGTGTCCAGTCTGTTCAGTTTGGAAAGTTGGCAACTCTACTTTTGAGTGAGATTGTTAGGAATGTTTTCTTGATAAGTAGTTTACTGAAGTTAAGAGGAGTGATGACCTAATAGGGGTCTCTATGAGCTACACTTTTATAAAAGTTAGTCATAAAAATAAAATCAGATAAAAATAGAGTATACTTTGGAGCAGTAGTCTGGAGCTACCCTGAAAGACTTTCCTGACCTCCTCCTTCCCAGTGACCTACTGGTAGTTATTCAATACCATCAAAGATTCTTAGTAATTATTTGGAATGGTCTAAGTCTATTGCTTATGTCTGTATGTGCTTAAATCTAATAAATTGTAGTTTTAGGTAAGAGTGATACAATTAAGTGTAATCTGTCATCAGCTGGAAGTGCTGTGTTCCCATTGATTTATTCCTGACATTGCCTGGAGTGAAACAATTAAGTTATCACTGCTTTGGGATTTGAAAACCTCAGGTAACAGTGGAAGAATCGTGCATAATCTAAGGCTAGATTCTGATATCAGCTTTTAATTCAATGTATTTAGCCTGGATTTACACTTTTGTAAATGAGAGCTGTCACTAAAATAAGCTAGCATGACTTTGGGCTTGATTCTTGTTTGCATTGATTGTGGCTACTTCATGCTACCAGAAAAAAAGGCCATTAACTTACATTTATACTCACTTTATGCTGGCTTTGAAGCCACTCAGCACTGCAAGAGTACATCTACACAGCACCATTATTTCGGAATAACTGACATTATTTTGAAATAACAAAGTGTGCATTTACACACAAGGGGTTACATCTAGACTGGCATGATTTTCCGCAAATGCTTTTAACAGAAAAGTTTTTCCGTTAAAAGCATTTGTGGAAAAGAGCGTCTAGATTGGCACAGGCGCTTTTGCGCAAAAGCACTTTTTGCGGAAAAGCGTCCGTGCCAATCTAGACGCGATTTTGCGCAAGAAAACCCCGATCACCATTTTCACCATCGGGGCTTTTTTGCGCAAAATGGTTCTCAGTTGTCTACACTGGCCCTCTTGCGCAAAAGCATTTGTGGAAGAGGGCTTTTGCCTGAACGGGAGCAGCATAGTATTTGCGGAAGAACACTGACATTAGATCGTCAGTGTTCTTGCGTAACTTCAAGTGGCCAGTGTAAGCAGCTGGCAAGTTTTTCCGCAAAAGCGTATGTTTTTGTGGAAAAACTTGCCAGTCTAGACGCAGCCAAGCAATTATTTCGACATAATGTTGAAATAATATCCAGCCGGAGGGCTTCTTACTCCTGTAACCCTCATTTTACGAGGAGGGAAGGAAGTCAGAGGAGGAGCGCTCTATTTCTGTGTAGAGGTGCCCAAATTTGAAATAAGCTATTTTAACTTAAAGCTACACAATTAGCATAGCTCTAGTTGCGTAGCTTATTTCAAGTTTAGCCCTGCTGTGTAGACATACTTCAAGAGAAGTGTAAAAGGCCCTGATTGCAAATGAAAACTACAAACCAGGCTGTTAGAGCCCTAAAAGGAAGTTAGAATAGTCCAGCACACCCACCACAGTGCACTATTTGCTGGACTGGCACAGAGCTCTGCTCAATGTTTTTCTAAACTTACAAAACGTCTTGTGTGCTGTGAATACTTGGTCATATTAGGAGGGCTGAAAAGGGCTTTTGTACTAGGGCCACAGCTTGTGACACCTAGTTTTTACATAGTGCTTCATTACATGAAATCCTACTGCCTTTATAAAGCTGTAAATACTTCATGATTTGACCCAGTAATTTATTTGGGAAGTGCAGATGCTTGATGCTCATCAGGATTTAGCCTATTAATACACTTCAGTGGAAGCTCTGAGTGAATAATAATTCAGTCAAGACTTTAGGTTTTGTGCCAATTGTTTTGACTATTTTTTAAAAAAAATACCATTCTTGGGCCTATGACGTGGTGAACACTCACTTCTTCCATCATCACAGGAAAATCTTACTGCGTTTCTACATTTTCATTTGATTATGTACTGAAATACAACAGGGGTTGCAAATCTGTTAAATCCTTTACATGGTCACTTTTCCTATACTCAAAGGATTTTTTTGTTTATTTCCTATGGTTTGTGTCCCCTGGAGTCATCTCTCACACCGTGTTTTAAAAGATCTGATCTATCCATTTCAGACACCTCAGAGAACCTGCTGCCTTTTCTGGACTGAATTCATTTGCAGATCAAAAAGAAAGAACTGACCTGTCCAGCACATTGCTCCTGCTTCTAATGGGGGCACTTACTGATTCATCTCCACCTGTGTTACCAACATGCACACCTCAAATCCCAAGGTGAGGAAACATTATGCTGCTCCTTCAATGAATGCCTCCTCCCCTGGAGCTATCAGGGAGGACACCAAAAGTTCCCTAATATATGTACCCCTCTGATCTTGGAAGCACATACATGGAAGGCAAAGAAGACTTATCTTATTCCATGACTTACTCAGGAGAACCTTTTACTTCATGGCTGTAGCTTCAGGAGGAGAAGAAAGGGTATCTAGATGCTGAACTTAATAATTAACATCAGTACACAAATACCTACTATTTAGGTTCAACCGTTCCTAACTGCAAGTTCATAGCCAATATCTTGTCCACTTTCTCTCTTGAAAATAGAATGGCTCTTCTGCTTTCTGCATCTCTAGATTATATGCTAGATGGCATCCACTGTGAAAGAATAGAGAGTGGTGGAAGTGTGTATCATGCCACAATTTTTAGACTACACTAAATTATTTAACTATCATCCTAAAACTAACTGGACTCAATATAAATGAAATTAACTTGATAAAATTTATAAGGAAGATAAATAGCAATTGTGTTGAATATCTGGCCACCACTAGTCTTCTTAGTGAAGATTAAAAGGAAATAGGCATTAACAGAGCTTGACAAATGGTGGTGAAAGCTGCTCGCCGGCCCCACACTGCACACACGCAAGAGCCGCGTTGCGCAGGGCAGTAAACAGGGCACGTGGCTGAAATCTACTCGCCACGGGTGAGTAGATTCTGTAGTTTGTTGAGCCCCGGGTATTAAACACTTCAACCTTCCTGATATCTGTTAGCTCACCTTCCTCTCTGTGCAGAGGATTTACACTTACCTTTGTGTTTCCCTTCCTAATAATGTATTTTAAAGTACCTCATTTTATCGCCTTTAATGTCTCTTGCTAGGTGGGATATTTTATGCCTTAACTTTTCTGATTTTGTTTCTTCATGCTTGTGTTATTTTTGTACCCATCTGCAGGCCCCCCTCAGACGAGGCCAAGGCTCCTCCCCCACAAGAATTGCCCAGGGCTGTGCCTCTCTTCCCCCAAACCAATCTTCCACTCCAGGGAAAGCAGCAGCAGCAACATCTTTTGATTCAAAGATGCTTTGGATATACCCCATGCAGGTTGCTGGGCCCAGTAAACCCCACCCCAGAACCTGCATGGAGCATGTCAAAAGTGGCTTTGAATCAAAGCATTCTTTTCCCAGAGCAGGCCAAGATACAGCGGCTGGGGCTCCCAAGCTCTGTTAAATCACTATGCCCTCTGAGCAAATGCCCTATCCCTGTGGCAGGTCGGCCCATCTGTATCAATTTGTTCATGTCCCTTCTTTTTTGTAAGATTCCTTTTTGCCTTTCAGGTCACTAAAGAGTTCATGAGGGAATCATATTGGGCTCTTCCCAGTCTTCCTATCCTTCTTTGACATCTGGATAGTTTGCAGTTGCACCTTTAATATTGTTTTTGAAAAACTGTCAGAAGATGAAGAGAGAGATTCCACTACGCTTTCTCTGAGAACTGATGCAATCTACCGCTAGGTTACTGTGGATGAACAATGCAACAATACACATGGTACATCAAGCTCACAATAAAAAACTCTGTGCTGGCTCTGAAATAACTAGATGTAAAATGTAATTGTTTTTTTCTCTTCATCCCACAGTTCATGGCTTCTGAACTGGTGGCAAACAAATACCTCAGTAGCAGCCAGCTAGCAGGGATCTGGCTTGTTGCTTATCCACCTGTAGGCAATTTTAAAGGTTGGGAGGCAGGGGCTACTTTTTTGCTTGTTTGACACTTTCATTGTGCACTGAAAGGTAACTGCATCACTAAGACAAATGGATTCTTTGTTTATTATTCTTTTGTTAATATCCCTTTGTGAGATGCCCCCCCAAGCATTCAGGTACATGTAAATGTTTCTTGAGCAGACCTTTGTAAACCTCTAACACTCAGATGTATAGCAACAGGCAAATTTGTTCTAAAACAGAATTTTCAGTCAAATTAGAAATGAAATAAATTTTAAGAAAAAACATAATTACCAAAAATTACACTGAGAAAAAGGTATGCCTATAGGTGGAAATTGAAATTAGCTATCTCAGAATCATTTGTTTTTAGATGCTCAGGCTGGACAATGACCTAGTGAAATCATGCTTTCTAAATGCCACTGAAAACTGATTTCAAACTGCTTTCAGTTTTGACTCAGCAAAAGTAAGTTATTGATGCTAAAATCATTAATAAAGTGACTAAAAATTGAATCACAAGGAACAATAACATAGACAAAACAATTCCCATTATTTATGGTTTTATTTTTTAGGCAGAAGCTGGAGTTAAAATGACTAAAGAATTCTAATTTTTGTCTGTAGAAAGATTCTCTTTTTTCATGCTAATTGTGACCCAGAGCTGTCAAGTCTGAGTTGACAACCTATCTCTATTTATTGCCTTCAGTCTGAGGCCATAATCAGCGTTCAGTCAAATATTCTGGATCCTAAACTTTCATCTCCTTCTTTAAGGAGCACAGAAAAATCCTAAAACAAAACAAAACAAACATTACCGCCTCACACAATAGCAAGAACAAACATATCTAAACCAAACCTACTTTTGCTATCAGGGACAAAAGAGAACTCCTGGGCACAAGAAATAAGTGGATCCCAAGACATCCTTGTTCCTTTGCAATT